AAAACACCTAGCCTTGATGGTTTCAATTCAAAATTCTTTAATTATACTAAATTTATCATTGGTCCTTCATGCATTGAGGCAATTAAGTACTTCTCTACTCAAAGCTTCCAAATATGGTGAAACATATTACTAACACCATTGTCCCTAAAGGATCCCATGATCAATCCCTTTATGGTTACAAACCCATATCACATTATAACACTATTTATAAGGTCATCTTTAAACTCTCCGCTAAGAGGTTAAAAAACATTCTTCCTAATATTATGCATTCTATTCGGGTTGTCTTCATCTATGATTGTGATATCTCTGATAATATTATTTTAGCAAGTGTGATCTTATATGGTCTCAATTTATATGTTCTCCCAACTAATTATGCTCCTATATTGACTCATGAAAGTTTTTTATAAAATGAATAAACATTTGCTCTATGATGAAATGCAAATTTTGGGCTTCAGTCCTCTATTTATTGAATGCATCAAAATTTGTACCACTCGTGCTAATTTTTCTATTATTATTAACTGTAAGAGGAGTTGATTCTCAATGATTTCTCTAGTTTAAGGCAAAGTTGTCCATTATCTCGATATATTTTTGCAATTGTTATGAATACATTCCTTAGAATCATGGCCACTTAGTTTCCCAATTCAAATCACATGGGCACTATGACTGATGGACTTTAGATGTCTCATATCATATAAAATGATGACTTGTTAGTTTTTGGTAGAGTTAATATTAAATTTATTAGTTTCCTCTCACATGTTCTTTGTATTTTTTATAAGCAACTAATATTTATATTAACACTTCCAAATAAACCATATGCTTTTCCAAATCTATTGATAATATCTATATAGAAAAAAAATATGTGGATACATTGGATTTCAATATAAACCTCCCCATTAGGATTTTTTTGGGGTTACTATTACTTCCTTCAAGCTAAAATAGTCTTATTACCTTAAACTTTTGAATAAAATGATTCATTGGTTATCATGTTGGAAGCAAAAATCTTTATTTATTACAAGTATACTCCAATGAATAAGGTCTTCCTTATGGAGTTATATCCACTATTAGTTCATGTCCACCACATCCTTAATAGCCTAAGGAAAAAAATCACTTTTCTTATTAATAAATTTTTTCCAACATAAATGAGTTGATAAAAAAGTTGCATAAAATTTCTTGGAGTATCACAACCAAGCCTAAGAAAAAAGGTGGCCAAGGTCTCCCCATTTTTGATATTGTATGCCTCATGTGCAAATCCAAAGTTATATGGGGTTTATAACTCTCGCTTCTATCTCTTTGATTAGTGAAGTATGCATTATGGCTCCTTATGACACAAAATGAATTACAATTTCTCCATTTTTTTAAAAAAAATTATGAATGTAATTACTAGAATTAGACGGTGCTTATCTTTTCAAGTCACTTATAATGGAAATTCACATTTATTTTTTGAACAATTTCTTATAGATCTCCACTTTATGAAATTCTTAGCAACCATGTTTTTTTCCTAGTTTTCATGCCTTGTTAATACGAAGCTTTTTGATGTTATTGTTAACAATTCTTGGCTCTTACCCTCTACTACTAAGGATTTGGAGAGTTTTATTCATTTATTCTTAATACTCCATTTTAGTATATAAGATAGTTTGTCTTTAGAAAGATCATAATTATTTTTCTCATAAAGTTATTTACTCCATTGTTTATAATGATTACCTAAAAATTCACTGGAGTAAATACATATGATACAACAACATGTAATTATTTTTTTGTCCCTATGTAGAGAATTCTCATTTGGGACTGAAAACATATGAGATACATTTAAATATAGGGCTTCAAGTGAATTAACTTTGTGTTCTTTACAACCTTGTGACTCAAACTCACCCTTATTCTTGCATGCTTTTCTTCCATTTCTATACTCAAATCATGTATTCCATATGGATACTTTTTTTCTCCTTGGCAGCAATTTACTTCAAGTATTCATCCGTTTTGATACTTTCACCTGCAAATTTATTAGTCATTTCTTTCTATTAGATGTGCATATTGCTTCTCATTATATATGGCTGAAATGAAATAATTGAGTTTGCAATATTAAATTCTTTCGTGTTGATGCTCTTATGAGAAAAACTCTTATTGCTATAAGACCAAAAGCAAAAAAAGAAATTTAATGAGAAATTTTCCTAAATTCATACACAAGCTATATTATAGTTGATTTTGTTTTCTTAATCATGTCTATAATGCTTTATACTTCACTCATATTTTAAATTTTCTTTGTTATACATGTTTTTTTTTGGTAAGCTTTGATGATATCCAACATATTCAAATGAGACTCAACTGACATTCTAAAATACTTTTTTATATGGTAACATAAGATTATTTTTATTGTGGTTGATGCATTTTTATCTGTATTGATGGATATTATTCAATATTTTGGTTGCTCTCTTAGAATGGTTGGTCATCTATGATACATTTATTAACCGTTCTCCTCTTCCCTTCATGATACGATAGTATTATGGTTACTTCTAGAAATTCAAGGCTCCACTTCTATGACTTAAGGCTCGCTGATGTTTAGCCTTCTTAACTTGTATTGGTGCTTCTCATCTGCTCTATAACCTTGATCATTATTGTGCTAATTGTGCTCTATGAGGGCTGGTTTTGCTATTTGTCTGTAGGTGAAACTATTCCTGGCTTGCACATATTCATATTTTTTCATGGGCTTGCATTTTTGTGGTTTTTGTGCTAGTTGATCTTGATGGTTCTAGATGGAGCTGCTCATTTTTTTTATTTAGGTCATTCTGAGCTCACATTATGAGCTTTTAATGTTGCTTTTAAATTTCTCTTTATATTTTCTAGAGGTATTTGTTTACCTGTTATTTCCTTGGCTTATTTATTTTTTTATGGCAGCTTCTCTGTTTACTTGTAATTATGTTTAACTTTTAATAATTATTCAACTTCTTTATATTGTGACCCAGCGTTATGCTCAATATATTCTTAATTGGATTGATGGGTATTTTGCAGTCTATTGGGTGCTCTTTAGAAATTGCTTCTCTTCTATAATACTTGCATTAACTGTTCTCTTCTTCCCCTCACAATACAACAACACTATAATTATTTTTAGTTATTTAAGGATCCACTTTTATGGCATAAAACTCGCTGGTGTTTGGTCTTCCTAGCTTAGGTTCGTGTTTCTCACTGGCCCTCTAATCTTGATCATTTTTGTGCTTAATTATGATGTGTTTGCGTTGGTTTTACTATTTGGTCTTTGGTGTAACCATTCTTAGTTTTGAGCACCCTTTTTTTTTGGGCTTGCGTTTTGATGTGTTTGGTGCTGGTTGATCTTGATAGACCTAAATGGAGCTACTCATTTTATTTTGATTCATATCCTTTTGAGGTCATATTTTGACATTTTAATGTTGCTTTTAACTTTTTTATTTTTGTTAGAATTCTTTTATATTTATTTTTTTCTTTTTTGTTTTTGATGGGCTTTTACTTGTAATTTCTTTTTAAAGAATTTGATCTTGAGTATTATAGTTTCGTACAGGAGAGCTTTAACAATATAGTTTAATAAGATTTATCTCTCAATTTAACGTAAATCTAGCTAAATGCAAAACATAGAATAACAAAAAATCAATAGTTTGTTAAATCTAAAATTGTCTCCATTTCGTATGGTTTTCAACATAAATCTAAAGTTTGTTAAATACTATTATTAAGTGAGTCAAAGAGTCTGTTTAGGGCCGTTTTTTTTCGTGCGGTGCGTCCCCAAATCACGACATCCCGTCGTTTGGATGCCAACTTCTTGGCTGCACACTGCTAAAGTTGGCGGAAAGCAGACCGCAGGATCAATCCTGCGGCCCCGCGTTCGCCCTGCTAATATTGCCATAGGCCCCACGATCCTCTTGTCTCGCAAACGCTCTTCGTCTCTTGCCCTTGCGTCCCGCCTAGTGTTCCCGAGGCTTCTTGCGAAGCACCATGCACCTTCTTCTTCCTCAACGAGCCAGGTAACCCGCGCCTTCGTCTTCCTCGACCAATCAGGTAACCTGCGCCTTCTTCTTCCGCACGAAGCCCCCTGCTCCTTCTTTCTCACGAGGCTGTATCATCAGTCAAAGATTATTCGTATTTTTCCTCCTCAACCCATCAAAATTCCTAAATTTCATTTCCCTCATCCTCCTCATTTCCCCCTACAGGGTCTCCGTTATCTTCTCCAGCTTCGGCCTCCAATGCCACAAATCCACTCCCTCGAGCTTCTCATATTCCTTCACCATCTCCTTCGTTGTACACAAACCCCCATTTTTCCCTACTCCCTCCTCCCCCCAATCTCCTCTACCTCTTCGTTCATCCTTATCTGTAGCATCCCACTATCCGTCTTGTGTATTATAACAAAACAAACACTAAAAAAAAAGAGTTGGCCTGATCAATCTTCAAGGATTTTGTAATTCCTCACAGTAGTTTTGTTATTATTTGTATTTAGCTGAATATGTGAAAGAATTTATAACAGGTGGGTGCTTAGAGTGTGGTAATTGGTGATTCTACTTTATGGAAATGCTTCCACAACATTTTACATTTTAATTGTTATTCTCAATGTTTATTCTGAAGGATGAGCTTATTCCCAATGCTAACCACTATTCCTTATTCTGTACTATTTTAAATGAATTTTTGCCTTAAAAATATTAAATTTATGGCTATCATAGTTTAATTATGCACAATATTACATAACAAAGTCAGAATGATCATTTTTTCAGAAACAACTGTCCCACAATTGTTTTCACACGACTATCACAAAGAGACAACCAACTTTCTATGACGCAGCTTCCTCAAAATAGCTTCCTGGGACAACTCAGCTGCATCTTATTAAAAAACTGCAGCTGCCCCAATCAAACCCTAACTAATTTAGCTTAGGAGGAAAATATATCAAATGAATTTATGAGAACATTAACTTTAAATCAAATATTATTCTAGATTTAATAGCATCTTGAGTTGATAAATGCGAATTTATGGCAAAAATTACTTAACTTAAACCGTAGTCAGAGCGAAGCGCCCCCTTTTCCAAGCCTCCAAAATGCTTGCTGTTTGAAGCCGGAAAAATGGCAGGCACTTTCCTCTGCTCTCTCCCCTCTTCTACCTTCACTTACCAACTGTTCCCTGCCTCCATCAAATATAACTTTATTCTTCCTCTCCTTTCTCTCCACTCTTCCTTTATCTCCTCGAATCATCCCTCAATCTGCTCGTCCCACGACAACAATCACCGTCGCCGCTTTCGCTTCCCCTGCTCCGTCTTCTCTTCCTCTATTCCAGGCAACCGTCCCACCTTCAAGCCGGACGATAGCAACTTGGACTCTGACACGCAAGAAGCCCTGCTCAGAGGAGGCGAGCAGGTCACCTCTGTGCTCGAGGAAATGATCAAGCTGGTATTTTATGGACAACTCTACTATTTATTTGCTTATTCGGAGTCGAATCTTTTGTATCTTCACTTTATATTGTTTTTCAAAATGTTTTTTATGTGATAAATGACTTTTTTGGGCGTCATTGATCTCGTCAATTTCTAGTATTTTGCAGCTTGAGGACATGGAGATGGATGAGGCGTCCCAGGCAGTGGCAGTGGAAATCGCAGCACAAGGGGTTATCGGGAAGAGGGTTGATGAGATGGAGTCGGGATTCATCATGGCTCTTGATTACATGATACAACTTGCTGAGAAGGATAATGATGACAAGGTAACTGATGAATGCTTAGCCCGGTTCTTTATACTAAAAGTGCTTACTTGCTCTCGTATTTTTGTGTTGGGGCCAATTTCCTTTAATCACCAATTACTTAGTTCTGATACTAACGCACTCCATATTTTGATTAATTGAAGTAATTCTTCTGGGAATAGTCTTCTGCAACAGCAATTCGTGCATAGAAATAATTTGGATTATCCCTCTGAATAAGTCAGCTTTCTCCCCTGTAAGTGTAGAAGACTGAAAGAAATTGTTGACAGTTCGGTTTTACCAAAAGAGACTATGAAAAAAGGGTACGAAGTGGCCTAGCCCTAAGCGACTTATCAAGTTAGCATGGTTTGGATAAGCTTTTTTTTACGTCCTTCATTAAAACCAACACGGGCTGGAAAACTAATTTGACGAACAACTTAAAGTTGAAGCATCAAGCTCAAATATCAATGTGATGATTAAGAAGACATAGATGGAAAACACATCTAATGCACCAATCCTTCATTTCTAAGTGGCTACTGGAGAGATTCTCCACGTGGAATAAAAAATAAATAAGTACGATTTAACATTATCGAGAAAACCCTCCTTCACTTTGTAGATTGTATAGGATGGTTACTAAAAACATTAAAATTGACAACTAAATGTCTTTGTCGGTCCTTAGTAGGTTGCACTGATGCTAGAGAAATCTCCTTAAAAAAGGACACAAATTTGACTGAATGCTTCACTTGGCTCAGCTGTAGCTTCTGGTGAAGTTGATTGAGAAATATTATGGGCAAAGCTGAGTTGACAACCAGCTGTAGCTGAATCTATTGGGTGCTGTTTTAACATAAGTTATAGAAAAATATTTATGTATTTTTTATGATGTAGATATGTATAAGTGACAAAGCAGTTCCATAAAATAGTAATGGATGGTATGGTATACATGCAGTCGGACAAGTCCACACACACATATATAAGATAATTAATTATTCTGAGAGGTGGTGAAAATAATAATATTGATGGTAATAATAAAAAATCAAATACCCGAATCTCATGTCAAATCATCGAAGAAATCTAATTGGATGCATACCTGAATCCATTGAATAATAAATATGGGGTTATTGACCTTCCATGTTTAAAGCGATATTTTTGAGAGAAAGAAAGAGCCTTATTTTCACTCAATATAGAATGTGTGTAAGAAAGAGAACCGACCAACACCGATCATGATCTTATTTATATTTTGAATGTATATATTCTATGTTAGACCATCATTAAAAATAAAATAAATATCTAGTCTATACACTATTAATTCTATACAAATATTAAATGGCTCATAAGCCAAATACTGATCACAATTTGAATAGACAAGAAAATTAATATAGCACATACTATATAATTAAAATTTATGGGCACATATATAAACTTTTCTAACAATCTCCCATTTGGACCACATATATTACTTATGAATTATGTATTATTAAATATTTTAAGACCTCAAAATTTATTAACTTTTCAAAGTAGCATCTTTAAATAATCTGATCATCAATAATAATCACATAGGACCAAAGAAATTTGTCACTATATTTTTTGGAATAAGGCTGATCCATGATCATAATGTTAATATAATAAACAATATAGATCAAGTATAGATATGTAGTATGAAATTTCATGCAATATGATTATATCATGAATATTTCCGATTGGTGTTATATCATAACTCAAAAGAAGTTTCGACGATGTTTTAAATATTTATGCTATACTATAGTTGAAACTATTTAACTTTATTTCAAAGTTTTCAATAATAACAAAATTTTGATCTGATGAGAAAATATGTTTACAAAAAGTAAATATCATAAATTTACTCTTATTATGCTAGCATATCATCAAGATAAGTCATGCCCATAGGAGCATGCTCATGAAGCACTTTAGGTGATAAACCTTTTATAATGGATCCAAAATCATAAGATTTGTGATTATATTTTCAATTGACATTTGAGAATGCCAAACCCTTTTATTTACAACAAGAAACTTTATATCAATATATTTTTTATGTTGATGAACTTTTATTGTACTTTGAATATAAATCAATTGATCTATTATCATAATTTATTTTTAACGAACTCTCAATACCATTAACATTATATATCCCAGTGATAAAATTTCATAAAAATACTCATCAATTTGATGCCTCATAAGTCATAACAAGCCATGAATTCTGCTTTTATTATAAAGAAAACTATGAATGATTGCTCGACATTCTTCCAAGATACACCTCCATTAGCTAACATGAAAATTTATCTTGAAAGGATCTTCTACTATCGAGGAAACCAACAAAATTGAAGTTATAATATCTCATGATCTCTAAATAATTGGATCTCTGATATGTGAGCATTAAATTGTTTGTTCTTTCGAAATAATGCATAACCCACTTTACTATTTTCTACTGATTCATTCTTGAAATACTTAATATCTCCCAAGCATTCTAACGATGTTTATAATATCTAGACTCATACAAACTTGAGCATATATAAAACTCTTTACTACACTTGCATAAGGGATCTTTCTCATTTCCTTCTTTTCATTATCATTTCTTGGGCATTCAAGCATACTGAATTTATCACATTTAACAATTCACGTGTCTTCTGACGCACTATGACTCATACCAACTTTACTAAGCACTTTATTAATATATGCCAATTGCGATGAAGTCAAGTATACAATGAGAACGATTTCATTGAATCTGCATACTAACACCAAAAAACTCATTCTCAAGATCTTTCATTTCAAATTTCTTTGAAAGAAATATCTTATTTTCATGCAAAAAGCTTATATCACTACTTGCTAGTAGAATATCATCGACTTATAACAAAATAAAGATAAATTTACTCTCACTAATCATTTGCTAAATAAAAATATATTAATCAACAATAATTTTTTAAACAAATGAGTAATCACATATTAAAATTTTTATACCATTGATGGGATACACACTTTGCAAATTAAATATTTAGAATTAATAGTTTGAAAATTTTCTACTTGCATTATGTGTTTATTTTGCTTCAATGTCACAATTAAGAAACATGATTCTGCATTGAGTTTATGTAGCTTTAAATGAAAATGAGCATCACTACCATAATGATTCTAAATGTCTTTGGAAGAAACTAGAGATAAAGTCTCTTTATAATTAATATTTTTCTTTTAAGTAAAACCTTTAGCAATAAGCTATGCCTTATAAGTTTTGATGTTGCTGTAGCTGCTCCGAAGCTGTCATATTAGTGCATATACTGTTCTGAAGCTGAAACACTGGTACCATTAGATCCTAAGATTGATCATACTCTCCTAAAAAGGCTTAGAGAGGGTGAAAAGTTTATCGACAGCTGTAGATCTCTATAGCAAATCTCAACAACCAAGTAATAAGCCTATAAGCCATTGTCAAGCTTGGAGTGCAGGCTAAGAACTTTGACATAAAAGCATGCCAATATAAATGATCATGAGCTCTCAATTTGGGGGTTAAGATCCAAATGCCCGTATCAGATTTATTTTATAAAATTAAGTTACGATAAATACCAAAGAAGTTATCATGAGCTCTCAATTTGGGGATCTAGCCGTAGATGATCCATACGGTCTTATCAAATTTGTTTTATAAAATTAAGTTACAATAAAAATGAAGTTTTTGATGATTCCATCAAATTGAGATTAAGTTACAATAAAAATGAAGTTTTTGATGAATCCATCAAATGGAAATTAATTTTGTTTTTATTAAGAGATCAAACAAAGAGCTAGCTTAACTCTTCACCCAACAATTCCAACATAAGCTATGAAGACTTAAATTTATAATCCAATTACTTCTTACTTGTGAAGCAAGCTAAATTGAGAATCTACTCCAAGTTTTGTCTATGGAGGTTGAGACATAATATGATGCTTGGGAAAGTTTAAAGGACTTATTGAGAAGGAATCTATATCATAGCCTTCCCAAATGAATTTAGGCACAAATATTCTATAATAATTTAGCCGAATCCATAAAAACATTGGTTGAGCCCATATAGTTAGCATATTTACGAGCAAGATGCAAGAGGCTATTTATGACCAACTTAAGTAGATGCCATGAATAATAAAATACATGTGTCTGTGTGTTGTGTTTGTCTGTCTCTGTCTATCTGTGTGTCTATGTGTCTGTTTGTCTCTATCTTTGTCTTTATCTCTGTGTGTGTGTGTGTGTGTGTTTGTCTGTGTGTGTGTGTGTCTGCGCGTGCGCGCTTGTCTGTCTGTCTATTTCTCTGTCTCTATCTCTGTCTTTGTACGCGCGCGCGTGTGTGTGTGTCTGTCTCTATCTCAGTGTGTGTGGGCGTGCATGCGTGCGTGCGTGACTGTCTGTCTGTGTCTGTGTGTCTGTATGTGTGTGTGGTGCTGTGTGTGTGGTAATTTGAAGGAATATAAAATCTAGCTAATGGCTTGGCAGTTAGGATAGAAAACTATATTTACACCTAAGACCTAAGAACTTAAAATCCAAGCACCCAATGAAACATATTTTTCTTAGAATAAAGAAATATAACACCAAAGACAGAGGGCTTAATTCCTAGGCACCAAACCTATCATATTAGTGCATATAATTTCTTAAATATAGTATTTATACACCTAAATCTATATATATAATCTAGTGTTTAGAGTTCTATATTTATTTGTGCTTGCTGAGATTAGGTATGTTATGTGTTGCTGTATTTCAGATTTCTACAAGAAGTCTTTTCTCATGCTAGGGCTGTATCTAAGGACAAATGGTACTCTGACTGTCCTGGTTCGAGGTGGTGTTTGTCCCTTCTGACTCCCCTTTCCGTTTTCCTCCTTCTAGTGTTGCAGCTGAACCCTGACATCTCTCTTTCTGTTCTTGCCGATCCAGTTACCCATTTCCACTTGCTTCCCTACCGCTCCAGCCACCTACTATCAACCTTAACTAGCCACTCCAACCACCAACTCTCAACCTAACCTGCTGTTCCGAGCCGCCAATCACCCCCACCATCTCCCGCAGCCTATCC